GGAGCAATTCTTCTCTGCAATCTCCAGAACCAACACCTTGCTTTTAGAGACACCACAGAGACACTACAGCTGGATCTCCTCAATTGTGCAACCAAAAAACAACCCTAGACTAACAATTACAAATAAGTGGAATTAAACTCTGACCACCCTTTGTTCTCTCTTCCCTCAACCCTCTCTTGGCTCCACCTGCATTCCTGGGACTTTGGAAAATTGATTGTGTGACATCCCTAATAAAAGTCTATGTGCCCCCTGGGGTTGATAGTGGCATCAGAAGCAAGCATCTGCTGATTGCTGCTGGGAAAGTCAAGCACATTGACATGTCACCTCGCTGTGTGTCATCTAGACTGCCCAGCATCACGTCAGATCTGGAAACGGGAAACCCTGCACTTTGCTCCCATTCCTTCCTCCTCTATGTAATCCCAGCAGTCCTGCGATTCAGGCAGCTATGTTTTTTAGGATAGCTGTTCCACCAACTCCCTTGCTGGCCATTTTGAATAAACTCTGTTAAAGACATTTCTCACTGTTCAGAGTATGACTTTCTGGGTAAGAGAGAAAGACCTAGTTTGTTATCTTGCAACACCTCTTTTGGACTTCTGACTAAGAAGTGTGATAGTATATTTGTGCTGTTTTAAGCTGCTAAATTGGTCATGATCTATTATGGTCATCACAGAAAAGCACATTTATATTTAAAAAGACTTGCTGGATATTATCTTGGGCTGAATTTTGTCTCTCCGAAATTCATTTGTTGAAGTCCTAACTTTTAGTAGCTCAGCATGTGCAGTATTGAGAGATAGGTTGGGCCTTTAAAGAAGTGATAAAGTTTAAAAGGCCATTAAGGTAGACCCTAATCTAATTTGACTGGTATCCTCATAAAAAGAGAAGATTAAGGCATATAGAGAAACACCAGTGATGTGAATCATAACAGAAGAGGAACGCACTCTCCAAGTCCAAGAAAGAGAGGTCTTAAGAGAAACCAAGCCTGCCAGCACCTTGACCTTACCCTTGTACCTGCCAGAATTGCGGGAAAGTAATTTTTATTGCTTAAATCATTTAGTCTGTGGTATTTTGTTATGGAAGCCTGAGCAAACTAATATAGGTAAGTACTTTTAACTGAAACTCAGGAGCTAGCAGTTTATTCAGAAGACTAGCAAATAAAGGGAAAAAGTAACTATTCATCTTTACTTTTCTTGTATTAATTGTACCACTACATAGGCAAATAGATGGAGTTTCTATTCAAAGAATTAGTCCACAAATAAGCATAAATTACAAAATTATAATGTCCTTTTATAGTCCTTAATGATGAGAGAATTTAGGCATTTAACATTCATGGTTCCTAATGTTATGAAAAGAAAGACAGCCAGCGGCCTCCCCAGTGGCACAGCGGTTGAGCGCTGGGTTGAGAAGCTGCCCACAGCCTCTGCAGCACCGGTTCGATCCCCGGCTACCTGGCGAAGGTCCCACATGGCGCGCAATCCTCTCCTGCCACCCACTGCTCCCCTTGGCACTGTACTTTGTCAGTCTGCCTGCTCTGCTCTCCCCTCTGGCTCTGGTGAATTCTCTCACCCTCCCGCGCTTCTGACTGTACCCAGCACTTGTATAAATAAATCTTCCAAAAAAAAGAAAAAGACAGCCAGGTGTTGTGTGCCTCTTGATGAAGAACATGTCACCTATGAAGCAAGCTTGCCCCAAATATTGACCTTTAATTCAATTCAGCCTCTAAATCCAAGTACCAATTGATAGAAAATATAGAGAATGGTGGACCACATTAAATGACACCAAGTAGAGCTTGTGAAAGTCTATAGGACAGGGACCACTTTCTTCAAATAAATTGCAAGGAAATGGGGTGGGAGAAATAGAGAGGAAACTTCAGACTTTTTTTAAAAAAAAAGAAAACCAGGAAAATAGCATCTAAAAAAATAAGGCAAATTTAAACTATCATATACAGGGATGTTCACTTAATTTTACATGATAAAATTATAAAGATAAGGAAAGAAGTGATTACCTAAAGTGTTAGGATAGGGGTTACTTCTAAAGTGGAAAGAAGTCATACTTGGGTGAGGGGACAATTTCATTTCCCCCTCCCAACCTAAGTGTTTGCCCTGTTATAATCTATTAAGCTATACATTTGTTTTATTTGGTTGCTATATTGTTCTATTTAACAACTTCAAAAAGTGAAGTAAGACTATGAACTCTAGAGAGCAGTGAGGGAAGGGGCTAAACACTCCAGATGGAGGGGCATGCACATGGGTGGGTGGAGGCTCAGGAAAGAAGGGTACTCCTGGGGGACAAATGTTCCCACAACTAAGAGTTGGGATTGAGAATCAAGAAATGGGGATAAAGAAATAAGAAAGAAGGGGGTTTTGAGTGCATTGGTCAGAGGGCACTCTAGGACACCTCCAAGGAGGACCCTTAAGGAAGGGTTGGAGTGGAGCCCAGCTGGCGAGAGGATGGTCTTTTGGGATACATTACAGTAATTTAGATGATATTGTCCATGACCTTGAATCTCTAGAAATATGACAGTGGGAACTGATAGAAGTAAGTGGATTTAAGAGAACTTGGGTAGGTAGAATCAATAACACTTACTAATCTGATATGAAGAGATGGCACCTGGATTTCTAACTTGGGTAACAAGGTAGAAGGTGTCATTTATAAGAAGGGGACAGAAGAAGTGAGTGGTCCCTGCATGGGGTGTGTGTGAGGGGATAGCAGGCTCAGTCTGGGGGGTGTTGAATGTGAGGTGCCCGTTGGACATACAAATGGAGAGGCTAAGAACACTGGTGTGTATGATGGCTTAAACTCTAGATGGAGATAACGATTCATCCTACTCTGCAGCCCAGCAGGCGGGGGTGATGGTTGGTCATGGACCCAATTCTAAGAGTGGTTGTAGGTGTGATTACAGTGTACATGCAACGGCACAGGGAGTCCTGACAGGCAGCACCTTCAGAGGCCATCAGAGAAAAAAGGAAGCACCAGATCCTGCACCTTATAAGAGCCTAGAGGTTAAATTAGTTGGTTCAGGCAATACAGTTTCCATAGTGCTCTGTGTTTGGGTCCTGCAGATGGCCTGATAACCAAGCTTAAGGAAAGACATGCTGGAGAAGGATGGTGGGAGGCAACAGCAAATCGTGGTAGGTACAAAGGGTCTGTGAGTTCCCACAAGAGGGACATTGCATACAGACATACATATATATATAAAATATTTGGTTTTTGCCCTTGACTCCTAAAATAGCTTCAGAGTGATAAAAATGGCATGGTTCTTTGGAACACTAATTAAAAAGGAAATCTGCACCCCTGTGTTTATTGCAGCACTATTTACAATCGCCAAGATATGGAAACAATCTAAATGCCCCAATACAAATGAATGAATCAAGAAGATATAAGATATACACACAATGGATAACTACTCAGCAATGAAAAAGATATGCCATTTATGGCAACAGGGATGGAATTGGAAGGGGTTATGCTAAGTGAAATAAATAAGAGAAAGAATTATCTGAATGTTTCACTTATATGTGGAATATAGAGAAACCAAACAAAGGGTCAGATAAAGACAAACCTTGAAAGCTGACCTGACCACAGAGCTGGGTGGGACTGCAGGAAGAGAGGGGGAGGGGATGAAGTGAACGTGGGTGGGGTGGGGGATACTGCAGAGGTGGAAGAGTATGATGTTGGTCTATGGGTGCTTTGGTGGTGGATGGATGACCACAATGAGGGGAGAAATCATATAAAGTCCAAAAATTAACAACAGTGTAGGAAATTTGTTAACTAAGAGAAATGGGTATCTTTGGCTGTTCATCACAGACCTCTTTCAACAATATCTGAGTTCATATTAAGGAGGAGATTTTTGGAAAACCTCTGGATGACTACAGCGTGGGGACTGATTGCCAGAACAAGCCACAGATGGCTTGGGTTGGAACTTTCATCCTTCCCTCCACCCCCCCCTCCAGAGAAAGGTGAGGGATTAAAGATTAAATCAACACAATAGCCAGTACTTTCATTAATCATGAAATGAAAGCATCAAAAAAAAGTTCCCTGAAATTTAGAGAGCTCTCGGGGTACAGAGAGCTCTAGGCTGGTGAACGCACAGTGTGGGAGGTAGGGTTGCAGGCCTGAGGGGCCACAGGAGCCTGTGCCCCTTCCCACATACCTTGTGCTCAATTTCTGCTGTCTGCCATTCCCCTGTTAGACCCCTACATAATAAACTAGCCATCTAGGGAGTCAATGTTTCCTGGGTCCTGTGAGCCGCCCTAGCAAAGTGACTGTGCTGAGGAGAGATCCTGGGAAACTCCAATTTGCAGGTGGTAGCTGAGAAGCGCTGGGTTTGCAATTGGTGTTGGAAGTGAGGGCTGAGGTGCTGGGAGTGGGGCGGTCTTACTCTTTGAGAGCTCATACTCTCTTCAGGTAGAGTGCATCACAAGTGTATCAAATTGTGGCCACCCATCTGCTGCCGGGATCTGATATTCACTTGTTGTGAGAAGCCCTACCGTCCCTACATCCAGTCCCACAAATATTCTATGAGCAGTGAATAGATTTGCACAAAGGAGAAAAAGTTCGAGATTTTTCCTTTACAGGCACAGAAGTACAAAAACCACACCTGCTCCACAGGGGTAAGGTTTTTCATTCTTTGGCCACCCAAAAGGATGGTTCCCTCCCATGACACCCTGTAGTAGGTTGTGTGAATGTCACAATTCCTACTCCATTGTCGTACAATTACTTGTTCAGTGTCTCCTCCCATAAGCTCAGGCTTGAACTAGTGCCTTTGGCAGGCCCAGGACTTGTCCTAAGGAAGGCTGCAATTTTTGCCTCACATCCTGAATTTCCAGGTCTAATGTCAGGCCATTGTCTGTCAGTAACAAATGTCTTTTATTTCTCAAGTCCCTTGAGATATTTTCTGACTCCACTTAATCAATTCTCTCAATATAGCGCACCTACATTACTATCATAAGGATTAGAAAAGTCAATGACTTAAGTAAAGGATTTCTTTTAAGCCATATTCTTACCTTGGTGTTCCAGCTGAAATCAGCAGGCCGAAGGCTGGGCTAAGGGTGAGTGAGCACAGAAAGCACATTCCAAGGGAGCAGGGCAGTCCTGACTATGGCAATCTTGGAGGCTCAAATTACCACCAGGTTGGGGGAGAGGTTCTTTACATGACAGCTGCTCACTTGGCCTTAGAAAAGAACTGTACAGGGATCTGTCCAAGGTGACCTTGTCCACTTTGAGAATCTCAGCCCCCTTGAATTTATGTAAACTCAAGCACTGTTTGGAGGAACGCGTGGTTCCTTCCTCTGGATTCCTGGCCCAGCACCCCACAGCCACGGAACTGAGCACTGCAGCTAAATCCATCTGGCCTGCGGGGAAATGGACCTGCGCATTCAACCGTGACTGGCTCAAATGCCTTTGCTGTTCTTCCTTCTCTTGACTCCTTAGCCTGACTTGCCTCACTTTCTGAATTTTGATGTGGAACTGTCTGTGCCAATTAATATTTTAAGATTAAAAAGCCGTGTCAATGAAAACATCTTCCTGCTTTAAAATGCTAGGTTTTCTTGCCTTTCTTCACAAACTGTATACATCCAAATCTTAAATACAGAAAAGATAGAATAGTCTAGAACCTTGGTGTATCTTCAGTTGGACTTGGACTTGTCTCGAGGGGATAGGCTTTCACAGAGGCAGATTATATCCCTGGTGTCCTTATTGGGGCAGCAGTGTGTCGTGAGGACTCACACCCAGGTGTAGTACCAGAAAGGCACAGGGCAGGATCTCTATGGCAGACGGGTAAAGGAGAGTCCTGACAGACACAGCAGAGGGAGCGAAAGTATTCAGACCACTCTGACCCTAGCAGGGAGCTGGACACTTGGGACTTTACAAGAAAGATGGTTAGTGCTCAGAACATGCCGGTCAGTCAGATGGCACCGGGAGGTGACAGCACTGGGAGTGAAAAAGATGGCTTTTTCAGGCTTGTAATTATCTTTCTGCACCATTTGTAGTGTGGCAACCAGGTACAGGGCAGGCAGGGGATTCTGGGGCCAGGAGACTGGGAGTCCTCCTAGCCCCCGACAAATCTTCATTGTCTCTGGCGTTCTCTCTGGTCTCCCCCGCTGGTGCCTGCTGCGCTCTGCCTCATGGTCCTCTGCCTGCCCCATCCTCTGCTGCCACCCCTACATGCTCAGCCCCATGCTCAGGCGCGCCCACTCATGCACGCGCACACACGCTCCAGGTGCCGCCATCGGACACGCGTGTCAGACCACAGGTGTCCATGGACGCTAAAGGCTGGAGGGTGGAATAAACCTTGTAACTTCCATTTCCCTGGGGAAATGGGAAACGAAATAACCACTGTGTCTAGTCATCTCTGACCAGCACAATTCAACCAACTCCCACCTGCTTCATGACCCCACCACTGCCCTGTTTGGACTTGAAGCATAACTGCCCCCTGCTGTGCTTCCTGCTAAGGCTTCATTGTCCCCTTTGACTCTGGGTCCACCTGATGCTTTGTCACTCACTCCTCTTCCTTTCCCCCCCCAAACTTTCGGTTCTTCATTTTTTAAAATCTCAAGCCAATTTCCTTCTTTCTGCTCTCCCTTTGAAAATTTTTCTTACCCCTAGTGCCTTTGAAAATTTTTCTTACCCTCTGACTGACCGGCGTGTTCTGAGCACTACCTCACCATCTTTCTTGTAAAGTCCGTCGTGTCCAGCTGCTTGTTAGGATGTGTGCCAGGGTCAGCATGGTCCGTGTACTGTCCCTCCCTCTGCTGTGTCTGTCTGGCCCAAGTTCCCTGTCTGATTAAGTCCATACCTGAAGCATCAGCTTGGACTAGGAAGGACAAGACCTCTGTTCTGCAGCCATCCCAGGCCAGGTAGGTTCAGGCAGCTTAAAAGAGAACTGGGGAGGGCCTCCCCTGTGGCGCAGTGGTTGAGCGCTGGGTTGCGAAGCTGCACGCAGCCTCTGCGGCGCCGGTTCGATCCCCGGCTGCTCCCCGGCCACCGGAGGAGGGTCCCGCATGGCGCGCAGACCTCTCCTGCCGCCCGCTGCTCCCCTCAGCAGTGTACTTCGGTCCTTCTGCCTGCTCTGCTCCCCGCTCTGGCTCTGGTGAATTCTCTCACCCTCCCGCGCTTCTGACTGTACCCAGTGCTTGTATAAACAAAACAAACAAACAAACAAATAAAAAAAAAAATTAAAAAAAAAAAAAAGAGAACTGGGGAGCCCTTGGCGTCATCCCCACAGGTTTCCTACTAGTACACAGCGGAAACAAGCCGGCAGGGAGACAGCAACTTGGGCCCCCCACAACTGGCCATTCGTGCTTTCCTCCCGTGAACGTTCTCCACCCCTCTCCACCACACTCCGCTGGCCACCCAGTCCTCTGTGTGGCACTGCCCTTCTAGCCTCAGTCGCTCAACTCAGGTGTTGCCCACTTACGCATGCCCACCCTGCACTCCACGTGACCACCAGGCACACGTACCCTGAGCCCACACTCCCAAGTGCTTCCTGCATTCAAGGCCACAGGTGAGAGCCACAGAGGCCAATGGCGCAAAAGCCTGAGCAATCTTCATTTACCCTACAACCACATACTTAATAATGTCATTTATGAATTTAACATATATTTATTAGGCACAGCTATAAGCATTGAACTACCTATAGTCACGGGGATCACAGAATTTACACTTAGTAACTACTGCTTATATCTTTTTTTTTTTAAATAGAGGCATGTTTTATTTATTTAGTTATTTGTTTGTTTGTTTGTTTGTTTGTTTATACAAGCACTGGATACAGTCAGAAACGCGGGAGGGTGAGAGAATTCACCAGAGCTAGAGCAGGGAGCAGAGCAGGCAGAAGGACCGAAGAACACTGCTGAGGGGAGCAGCAGGCGGCAGGAGAGGTCTGCGTGCCATGTGGGACCCTCCTCCGGTGGCTGAAGAGCAGCTGGGGATCGAACCGGTGCAGCAGAGGCCGCGGGCAGCTTCGCAACCCAGCGCTCAACCGCTGCGCCACCGGGGAGGCCCATTATATCTTTTTTTAAAAGATTTATTTATTCATGCATACAAGAACCAGGGTATAGGCTAGATGTGTGGGAGGGTGAGAGGATTCACCAGAGATGGAGTGGGGAACAGAACAGGCGGACTGACCGAAGTACACTGCTGAGGGGAGCAGCAGGTGAGTCAGGAGAGGTCTGCTGCGCCATGTGGGTAGCTCCCTGGCCGGGGATTGAACTCGTGCTGCAGTGGCTGCAGAAAGCTTCATAGTGCTGTGCTTAACCTCTTGCATCACCAGAGAGGCCCCTATTTACCCTTCTTTTACAGTAATTATTACTTTTTATTTAAATGAGCAGATCACTTCTCTCAGGGCTCAAAAGACAGGTGGAGACAATCTCCAATGTCTACTTTGTATCAGTTTTTCTGAATGGGTCTTATCTCCCAATCAGAATTCGGCTGTCTAGTATGATCTCAATCAATAGTTGTTCACTATTTACCCTTTGAACCCAATGGGTGACCACATTTATTGAATGGATAAATGAACAAACAGCTTTAGTTCACACCAGGACTTGGGTGATGCAAATATGGGGTGAGGGTGTCAAACCCAGCACGCACCCCTAGCCCTTCAGCCATAGAGAGTGGGCCTTCCCATTGCTTTGTGCCCCAGACCCTGGCTTGCCTCCTTATTCCTGGCCCTGCTTTGAGTGTAAGCACCTCCACACTGATTTTCCTTGATAGGGCTTCATGTCCCTTTCTGGAAATGTCTGAGTCATTCTTGACACCCAGATGAAGACTGCTCACTTTAGAATTAGATTTTCTTTACAGCAGCTTCTATCTGCCAACAGACCAAGCTATTGCCTCCTCCTTGAAAGGCTTCTCAGGGGAGCTGATGGGGTTACAACTGGGAGAGGCAGCCATTGCCTATCATCCTTGGCAGCTGTTTTCTAGTGAGCTGGCCCTGAGGAGCACAGAGAACAAAACTGTCCTCTGAAGATAGCTAACTCAGTCCTAGTGCCTCTTTGCTTGGGGAGACTTCACTGCTCTGATCAAGGCCACCAGCTGTGAGGAGGGGATGTTCCTCCCCAGTTGCACTGCGGGGCCAGGGTGAAACTCTGACTGCTTGAGACACCATGGCTCCTGCTTGTTAGAATGCCCTGCTCTGTGTCCTCATCTCATTTTGTTTTTCTACACACATCTCATAATTATATTACTGTCAGGCCATTTTTATTGCTTAGCTGTGCTCATGTGCATAAATTCTCCCATCCTGTATCTTGCCCAATTCATTCCCAGTCATTGAGGGAAAGACAGATCAAATCCTCTTTTTCTCACTTTCTGCTCTCTTTTACTTTCTCTTCTTCTCCCTCCATTTCCCTGCCCACCTCCACTCCAGCCCTGCACAATGGGGAATGCATAGTGGTATCAAAGAAGAAAGAGGTTCCAAAAGGTGAAGTAAAGTTAGAAAGAATGAGAATATCTGTCTCTGCATTTCAACAGGCTGTTGTAATAAAGTCCCACAAACTAGCATACTGAACAATAGAACATAGAGCCCCACAGTTCCCAAACGTAAAAGTGTGAGATCAACATGCCAGCAGGCTGGTTCTCCCCAAGGTGGTGAGAGAGAGTCTGTTCCATGCTGCTCTCACATCTTCCTGTGCTTACAGAAACTTTCAGTATTCCTGGGCCTATAGATGTATTGCCCTGATCTCTGCCTTCCTCTTTACATGGTGCTTATTTGTGTGTGTGTCTCCACATCTCCTCTTTTTATAAGAAACTAGGCCCACTAACATATCTTAATGATCTCAAAAGACCATTTTTCTAGGGCCTCCCTGGTGGTACAAGGGGTTAAGATGCAACCTATGATGCTATCCTCAGCCACTGTAGCATAAGTTCGATCCCTGTCCAGGGAGCGACCCACATGGTGCAGCAGACCTCTCCTGACTCACCCACTGCTCCCCTCAGCAGCGTATTTCAGTCAGTCTGCCTGTTCTGTTCCCCACTCTGTCTCTGGTGAATCCTCTCACTCCCCATCACTCCCCACACCTCTGGCCTGTACCCCAGCCTCTGGCCTGAACCCCAGTTCTTGTATGCATAAATAAATAAATCTTTAAAATAATAATAATAAAAGACCATATTTCTAAATAAAGTCACATTATAGATACAGGGGTTA